TCTCTCCTAAAAACATGGCCGAATCCTGTACCCTCTTTACACTTGTTCCCCTCTTAGGAGGTCCACTTACCAAAGGAAACATTTTCACTGGCAATGATTTCTGTATCAGAGGAGGAATGGTAGACCACACAGCTGTAACGGCCACCCTTCCCTCCTGCTTCCTCTCTGCCCAATTTCAGGATGCTGTAAGTCTTGAATAAATTCCTGGTGGCCGCGGTCACAACCCCATTCTCATACAGTGTCTCGTTTAGGGGTACACCATCCTTCCTCCATGAGATGCTAATTTCTCTTGGGAAGAAACCGATCACATCACAGACAAGGATCAGGGCGGTGCTGTTTTCAAGGGAGACGCCGAGGGAGGCTCGAGCAAGGGTGATGGAAGGCTTCTCAGGGGCTGAATCAAAAGAAGAAGAAGCGAGACTGCAGGTGAAAACGTCTTATTTAGAAAAAGAATAAGGAACAAACACAAAAAGTGGAGACAAGAGGGAAGGAGAAATCACTTGGAGAGCTCGGCCACCTCCAAGCATCTATGGTGCCAGACCTCTCTACTCACCCTCGGTTTCCTTCTTGACTTCCACTGCTTGGATGACGTCTTCATAGCAACCACCGGCTACTTTGCAGGTGAAGGTGGTGCCTTTCTTCCACTGTGCCAAAGAGACTGGGTGAGAACTGGTCACGTTGGGACCTTCAATGGCATTGGGTTGGGCCATGTTGTCCGGGACATCAGCGCTGGGCTGGCCATCCACCTGCCATGTGATCTTTGTGTTTTTGAGGTTCAAACCAATGGCCGTGCAGGTGACTTTGGCTGTCTTCTCGAGAAGGTCTCTGTAAGCCGGCTTGGTGACGGAGACGGTAGGTTGTTGCCTTAAACCGTAGCAGGCTGGGGAGGAGGTAGAGAGAGATCAACATTGAAACTCTACCATATTCCTTCAAATTTAGAAATAAATGTTTTGGCTATACTTGAATGCTATGTTGGTTCTATAGCTGTGCTGCTTTAAGAGTTAGGAAGATTTCCCTGAAATTCAGACTAAATCCGGCTTCCTGTAACTGGAAC